GGGGCCACCCTTGGCCGTTATCTGGTGCCCCGTGCAGGGCAGGCGCCAGCCGGTGGGGAGCGACGCCACCCCGCTGCCTCTGGCAGGCTGGAGGGACACTGAGCATCCAGGACCTGCAGCCGGGGGCCTGGCGTGTGGCCCAGTGGGTGGCCTCTGAGAACACACATGTGTCTTGACTGTCCCCCCGTGCTCCTGGCCAGCTGCCTGCCCTGTTTTCCTTCAGAGAGCGAGGACAGACATGACAATCTGGCCTGTTTTCACGGGGCCGCCGGCCAGGGCCCTGGTCTGAGCCACGTGGCAGGAACGCGCCCGGCGTGTGTGCTTGGGACAGGACGGCCTCTGTGAATCAGGTGTTTGCGGTTCCCAGCGTGGATGCCGGTTCGCTCACGGCCAGCAGGTGGCCCGTCCCCGCCACCGTCCCCTCTTGCCTGGGCGACTGGTTTCGTGCGGTCTGGTCTCTGCAGGTCCGTTCTGAGTCCAGGTCTCTCCTCGGGCGTCAGCGTCTGCGTCGTCTCTTGCTGTGGTGACAAGGGCTCTTGCTCTTAGCTGGCAGGCGTGTGGACGCCCCGGAGGTGCGGAGCTGGGGACCTCGAGCTCCCCAGGCTCCGCTCGCTGTCTGACACACTGCATGGCCCCTGCGGTTCGTGCCAGCGAACGTCTTCTCCCTGAGGACCTGTCCACTTTGTTCACTGCGTCACCCTGAGGGACAGGGCGCCTGGCCAGAGAGGGCGCTCGGGGACACGTGTGGACACTGTGGGTTTGGGCAGGTGGCAGGGCTGTCGGTGATGTCGGCCGTGGGCAGGGCTGGCGTGGTGGCTGAGCCTGGCATACTCGGGGCGCCCCCCAGAGCGCACTCATTCTTGGGGACACCGTGGGGCCGGGCCGGGCGGGCGCTGTCATTTCAGCCAGTCTGGCCGCAGTGGGACGTGGGGGGCGTGGGACACGCATGGCCTCTTCTGCAGACCTCGCGGCTGTCCTTGCGAGCCCAGGTCCCGTTCCCGCCTCAGGCTTTGCCCGCTCTCTCAGCGGACGTGCGCTCCAGACAGCGGACTCGGCGACACTCGATAGGCCTTGTTTTCAGGGTGGTTTTAGGTTTACAGAAAACCTAGCAGGTCGCACGTAGAGTCCTCAGCTCCCCTCCTGAGCGTCTGCGTTTGTTACTCTGCACGAGCCGAAACCGACACACTGTTGCTAACCGGTTCCCACGACTGCCGCCCCGCGGCCCTGAACAGAGGTGTCCCGACACGTGCCTGTCATGGTGGCGTCACACAGAGCATGTCCACCGCCTGGAAGTCCCCGTCCCTCGGCCGTCCCTCCCGCCTCCCAGTCTCCTGACAGCCACCGCCCTTTCACTGTCCACAGTTGTCCCTTCCCCGGAACGTCTCGTGGCCGGAAGCACATAGTGCGCAGCCCCCTCAGATGGGCTCCCCTCACTCGGCCGTGCGCATCTGAGGTTCTCCGGGGCTGTTCGTGGCCGGACAGCCGTCTCTTTTTATGGCTGAAAAATACTGCGCTGCGTGGGACGCAGACGAGGGTTTCTCAGAGGCAGGAGCTCTGGGTGCTTCTCGCCGGTCCGCCGACGTTTCGCGAGGCCCCAGGACGCGCGTGGGCCGAGTAGGGACGCACGAGGCGGGGAACCGATCGCCGTGCTGTCAGCCTCGCTGCTCCGTGTGTGGCCACCACCCGGCGCGTCTGTCTGCAGCTGTCTCCATTCCCAAGGCCGTCTGTCTTGTTTCTCTTTTACACTCATTTTTCTGAGAAGTCTCGGTGCGGGGGAGCCAGCCACGAAGTCAGCGGTTCTGGACGGTGAGAGAGGCTGCCTTGTGTGTGGGGTAAGGGAGCGGATGGGGTGCCGGGGGGAGGCCTTGCCCCCGACAAGGCTGTGAGTCAGAGTGTGGTGCAGTAATAACATGTCCCAGTCGAGAGAATAAGTGTGTGTCACGTTCCTTGAGGAACTCAGTGAGATAGAGTTATAAATAGCTGCCCAGTAGGAATCAAGGTCATGCTGCTGGCCACCCCACCCACAGGACGCTGGTCCGTCGGGAGTCTCCTGTCCTGTGCACGCTTCACGGAGCTCTTGGAGGAGGGGTGCATGGCATCTGGGGGAGGGTGGCCAGGCAGAGTCACTTGGGGCCAATCTGGTCCCCAGCCTCCCAACCGCCCTGCCTCCCGGGTGTCCCAAGTGTGGAGAGCCTGTCCTGTGACGGGTAAGCCTCATTTCCGTGACTCACCAGTGGCTCGCAGGGCCCTGCTGGCTCGGAGCGCGTCCTGCACAGCAGGGCGTTGCCCAGCAGTTGCAACGGCCAGTGTCTCCTGGGGGAGTGGACGTGTCACAGCCCGGCCTGCGTCAGGTGTGTGTCCCAGACATGTCTCACACTGGACGTGACACCCCGTGTCCTGCTCCCGTCCCCTCACTCTGTCCTCTGTGTCGTAGGGGGTCGTGGGGACTCAACCACCGCCGGTTCAGGCACAGGTGGCCTGTGTCTGGTGGGGGGCTCAGGGCCATGCGCGCCCCCTCCAGCACCTCCACGTGCTGCCCTGACTCGCCTCCGTGCTGATCCGCCCTGCCCCGGGCCCCCCCTCCATGCGGCATTGCTCTGCTTGGCGGGCATCATCCGAGCACGCCGAGCCTTCTGGCAGCTTCCAGAACAGCCTGGTGCTGGCTCGCGCTATCTTGAGAGCTGCCCGGTCTGCCCCAGCCCCTGGGGCAGTGCTGGGCCCCGTGTTCGAAACACTGGTCCCGCTGGAGAGGGGAGGTGGGGGAGGGGCGGTGTGCCTCTGACCTTACACTCTGCAGGGTCTTTGCATGGCCTTTGTGACACCCAGGGCGGTTGGGACGCCGGAGGGAAGAAGGCCGTGCTGGGTGGCCGTGCCCGCACCTCGGCCGTTCGCCTGTGGAGCCCTTTCCTGCGACTTTTCCAGTCGCAGATCCTCCTGCTGATGGCTGAAAGGTGGGGTGTGAGGTGCGACCAACACGCAGACTGAGGAAGTGGCAGCGAAGGGCCTAGAAGAGGGTCTGGGTGGTGCACACCTCGCAGGCGCTAGCCGAGCGGACGGCACGGGCGCCCAGGCGCTGCGTCTCCTGGAGGAGCCTGTGGAAAGGAGAGCACGTCACTGGCACGTCCTCGTTAGCCGGGAGGCGAGGGACGCACGGAGAAAGCGTGCCGCGCGGTCGCGTGGCCTGTGACCGCGGCTGGGGCCTGTCCCTCCTGCGCCCGGTGGAGCCCAAGGTGGTTTTCTTTTCTTGGCTCGTTTATTCGGTTCCTTAGATGTCACGTGTAACGACTCCCGTGGCGTTTGTCTTTCTGCGTCTGACTCATTTCGCTCAGCATAGCACCTTCTAGGTCCGTCCGTGTCGTCGCACGCGGCAAGATGTCATCCTTGTCCGTGGCTGGGTGATGCTCCACTGCGTGTACGAGCCCCGGCTTCTTTATGCCGTTGATGGGCACGTGGGTCGCGCCACATCTCGGCTGCTGTGAATGGCGCCGTCGTGAACACAGCGGTGCCCGGATCTCGTGAATCACTGTTTCGGTTTCCTTTAGATTAGCAGAAGCGGAAGTGCTGGGTCATGAGGCGGTTCCATTTTCAGGTTCTGTTTTGAGGAAGCTCCCCCCGCACTGTTTTCCACACCGTTTTGCAATCTCGCCAGCGGTACACGGGGTTCCCTTTCCTCCACGTCTTCACCAGCGCTGCTGTTTGTGGATTTCCTGATGATGGCCGTTCTGACAGGTGCGAGGTGACGTCTCGTCGTGGTCTGACGATTAGTGACGTTGAGCATCTTTTCATAGGTCTGTCCTCTTTGGAGAAATGTCTGTGCAGGTCTTCTGCCCATTTTTTGATGACACCGTTTGGGTTTTTGGTGCTGCGTTGTATGAGTTCTTTACTCGTTCTGGATATTAACCCCTCGTCCGGATGTGTCGCCGGCAAATATCTTCTCCTGTTCAGCTGAGCAAAAACTTTTTAGTCTGACGTAGTCCCATTTGTTCGTTTTTCTTTTGTTTTCCTGTCTGAGGAGATGTATCCAGATGCTGGCGTTTACTGCCTGCTTTTCTTCCAGGAGCGTTGTGGGTTCAGGTCTCGCGCGTAGGTCTTTGGTCCATTCTGAGTTTATTCTCGTAGGTGGTGTGGGGAAGTGGTCCGGTTTCCCTTTTTTGCACATATCTGTCCAGTTTTCTGCGCACCGTTTATCGAAGGGACTGTGTGCCCGTCCCCACTGCGTGTCCGCGCCTCGTCTGTCACGGGTTTAAGGGGAGTCTGGGCACAGTGGTTATCGAGGAATCGGACGCAGGCCCAAGTGCAGCACGTCAGTGTGGTGGCTTCCCGTGGCTGTGGCTCTGTGCAGCATTTAGAAAGAGGACAGTAGTGGCTTATCGCCTGTTTGTGTCACAGCCGTGTGGCTTCTGAGGAGCGGGGTGTCCCAGTGACGAAGCGGATGCGTCACCGTGTTCCTAGGTAGCCGTGGCTCCTAACGCCCGATCGAGGACACGTGCCGGCTGTTTCTGTACCTGCACACGTGTGTGCCCGTCACCGTGCACGCTGGCACACACACACGGGGGGATGTAGCTGGTTACACGCGTGGGGCTGGTGTCGGGCCACGACACCGGCGGAGCAGCCTGGCCGGCTCTGGGCTCTCACCTCGGGGCTCCTCGTGGCACTGGGGGCTTGGGCGGAATGGCACAGGGGTGTCCCTCGCTCGGATAGGGCACGGCGCGGTGAACTCAGGCCCTTGCGGGCTCCCTCACCGCTGTCGTGCCATCTGCTGGGACGAAAGCAGCCTGAGCAGTCAGTTCCGGAGCAGCCATCTGCCGCCCCAGGGCAGAGGCACCGCAGCCGCTTACAGGACCGTGACTGTCCTGGCCCCTCGTCGCGGGCCTTAGCAGACGTCAGGACGCC